TGCCATTATCAGCAGTGACCAGTTGCCATCATCAGCAGGACCAGTGCCATTATCAGCAGAGACCAGTGCCATTTATCAGCAGTGACCAGTGCCATTTATCAGCAGAGACCAGTGCCATTATCAGCAGTGACCAGTGCCATTATCAGCAGTGACCAGTGCCATTATCAGCAGTGACCAGTGCCATTATCAGCAGTGACCAGTGCCATTATCAGCAGTGACCAGTGCCATTATCAGCAGTGACCAGTGCCATTATCAGCAGTGACCAGTGCCATTATCAGCAGGACCAGTGCCATCATCAGCAGTGACCAGTGCCATTGCCATTATCAGCAGAGACCATTGCCATTATCAGCAGAGACCATTGCCATTATCAGCAGAGACCATTGCCATTATCAGCAGAGACCATTGCCATTATCAGCAGAGACCATTGCCATCATCAGCAGTGACCAGTGCCATCATCAGCAGAGACCATTGCCATCATCAGCAGAGACCAGTGCCATCATCAGCAGAGACCAGTGCCATTATCAGCAGTGACCAGTGCCACTATCAGCAGTGACCATTGCCATCATCAGCAGAGACCAGTGCCATCATCAGCAGCGACCAGTGCCATTATCAGCAACGACCAGTGCCATTGCCATTATCAGCAGTGACCAGTGCCATTATCAGCAGAGACCAGTGCCATTATCAGCAGTGACCATTGCCATCATCAGCAGTGACCATTGCCATCATCAGCAGAGACCAGTGCCATCATCAGCAGCGACCAGTGCCATCATCAGCAGCGACCAGTGCCATCATCAGCAGCGACCAGTGCCATCATCAGCAGCGACCAGTGCCATTATCAGCAGTGACCAGTGCCATTATCAGCAGAGACCAGTGCCATTATCAGCAGTGACCAGTGCCATTATCAGCAGAGACCAGTGCCATCATCAGCAGTGACCAGTGCCATTATCAGCAGTGACCAGTGCCATTATCAGCAGAGACCAGTGCCATTATCAGCAGTGACCAGTGCCATCATCAGCAGTGACCAGTGCCATCATCAGCAGTGACCAGTGCCATCATCAGCAGTGACCAGTGCCATCATCAGCAGTGACCAGTGCCATTATCAGCAGTGACCAGTGCCATCATCAGCAGCGACCAGTGCCATCATCAGCAGCGACCAGTGCCATTATCAGCAGTGACCAGTGCCATTATCAGCAGTGACCAGTGC